ATGAGAAATCTGTTGTCCTGTGAACTGTTACTCCCATGGTGATTGACTTTGTTCCCTTGATGCTTTTAGTATTTGAAAGGAAGGAGAGATGATTGATTTTCAGAAGTTAGACTCTAATTCCGTGTTTGTGTGTGTGGAGAGGGAGGGGATGTAGCCAAATGTGGACATTTTTTTGTCATTATCTTACAGTCTTTCTTACTTCTTCCCTCCTTTATCAATTTTAGATCTATTTATTATTGTTCCACAGTTCCCCTGAAGCCTTGTTTAGATTTTTAAAAATAGTCTTTTATTTTATGTTCAGATTGGGTAACTTTTATTCTATTATTCTTTCCCCTGAGTCCTGTATGCAATTGCCAAATGTGTTTGTTAAGTTAACTTACTGTGCTGTTCAGTTCCAGAATTTTCATTTGGTGTTTCTTTGCTGAGATATTATTCATTTGTTTCAATCAAGTTCACAGTTGCTCACTGAAGCATTTTATATTTAATCCTAACCTGTCTCTCAATCTTGACTTTCACATGTGTATATTATTTAAGTGGAGGAGCTCTTGGTTTTGATATAGGTGACATGGTTGAAACCTGGATACTTTGATGTTGTGTTTCAATGCTGTGGCTCTCACTGAAATCCTTTCTGTAATCTCTGACACTGATCTAGCTGCAAGAAGAGTTGACACCATCTCGTTACTGCATGATGAGACAGCTTCACTCCCATTCATCCTCCATTGATACCTGGAATAGACGGGGGCCTGGTTACTGCTGTGCAAGGGAAGAATTCCCACCTCCTCCTAGGTTAATTGATTACATCTTCGCCAGAAAGGATAGAGGGGCTTTACCTTTGCTCTCTACCTGGCTTCCATTGATACAATGGACTAGGGTGGGAAATGGAGAGTTGCCTTATTACAGCAAAGCAGTGGCCAACATTTTGATTGCCCACTAGGCTGCCTGTGACTCAGTGACACAGAGAGGGAGGCATTACTGCTAGGCAGGTGGCTAGGTGTTCTTTGTCCTTTAATGATCTACCCTCACTATATGTGTGAATGATGGGACTCAAATCCCTAATTTTTATATATCCTCCCTCTGCATCGCCTCAGTTTGTGGGTTGTGGCTTACCTTAAAGTCAGTCAAGGGTGTAAACCTAAGTGTTGTGTATTTGATTTTATCTGGCAATAGTAAATATGGGGCTACAGATTTTTTTCTTTTCCTGTGAAATGTTTGGCTTTCCTACAGCAATTATTATTTAGTTTTCTGGGTTGCTATGCTGCCCCTCTGTTGATCCTTTGGCTAGGAAAAGCTAGTTTTATTGGGCCTTCGGGCCTTTGCTCTGTTGGCATTTTTGGATGGTCCGCTCCTTCAGTTTCAAGAAAGAATACAAGAAGTAAAAGGAAAACCAGAGAACTCATCAATGTGTTTCTTGGGTTCAGAAAGAAGTATCAGGTCAGTACGCATGTGCATGTTGATAATGGGAATCACTATGTAGTCCAGAGCAACCTTAAAGTCACTGGGTAGTCTAACTTGGCCTTAAACTCAGAATTCTCCTCTCTCAGTAGTACAGGTGTATTATCTAGCAGTTTATTGTATTTAGTGAAAACACCACACACACACACACACACACACACACACACACACACACACACACACACACACACGAAGACAGAGCAGAAAAAATAAAATCAATTTTGTAGATAGATTATGGAGAACACAGCTTAGAATCCCAGGTGGAATTATTAACATTTCAGTGGATCTTTGAAAGACAGAGAGTCTCCTCTGGTAATTTAGTTATCTTTCTGCTGAAGACCTGAGTTACTGCCTGATGACAGGCAGTGAGTGACATGGTGTTCTTTGATTTTTCTCTCTATGTGCTATTTTGGTCTTGGTTTTGAATGCACAGTGGAAAAAGAAAGATATTTGGTAGGATTACACCTTTGTAAGTCATTTTCAGCACTAGAGCAGTTCACTCAATTCCACTAGCCTTGAGGTCAATGGGCCAAATGCACTCTGGTCAATCAGCTAAAGCAATGTACTCCTTATAAATGCTTTTATTCCTAAATATTCCAGGAAGTTGTTTCTGTCTTTTTAAAACTTTAGGCTGTGAAAACTTTTCTAGTTTAGGTTAGTTGTTAGTAACGTTGATTGTGTAGCTCTATGAACAAGTATAGGTGTCATATGAAATTAATATAATTGCATTGTGCTACATTACCAGAAAGGAAGAACAGAAAGAGGCCCAGCTTTTGTGCAGTTTGAAGGTCGCACAGTTTGGAAACCCCATTAAGTGAAGGCTATGGATATGAAATTAGGTGCAGTGTTTGGAAGGGGCTGTGAAAACAAGGCAGAAAGTTTGACCCTGCCTTTGTGAAAAATGATACTGCATAATTAAGTACTGCTTATAGGTTGGAGACTGTACAGTGTGATTCTTACTCATCTTCATTTAATATCCATAAAAGTGTAAAATAATTTTGATCCTGTTTTACAAGTGAGAAAAAGGGATTTTTGAGCAGTAAACCATGCAGATGGAAATAGTAGAGCTGGGGTTTAAATCCCAAAAGTAAGCTAAGCTTGATGGTGTGTATTTGTAATATTAAAACTCCAAAGACTGAAGCAGAAAGATTGCCATAAGTTCGGTGCCTGCTTTGACTACAAAGTGAGTTCAGGCTAGTCTGGTTTATATAGTGAGACCCAATCTCATAAATGAAACGAAAACTTCCCATAAAATGCAAGCATACCAATTTCAAAAGTGTGGAATTTGGCTGCATGTCGTACTCAATGAAACAGATTATGGAGCATCCATAGGACTCAGAAGCCAGATTGCTTGAATCCACTTTTGGTTCTGCTGTTACTGTTCTGACCTTGAAAAAAAATCCCTTTACTTCTGCATCTGCAAGTGGGGCTATAGAACCTGCTCTTGTAGCAATAATGGCTGAAACAGCATCTAGAGTAGCTTCTGCTTCACCAGAGTCCTTGTTATCAACCATGGAGAGCAGTACATTTAGGTGAGTTAAGTTGAATTTTATTTGTGTTCATCAGCTCAACTTCTTGAGTTCCTAAAACAGGTTATGAGAAAAGCAGATTATTTTTTTTGCTTATAAGTTATTTTTGGTCATATTAAAGGCTTCAGAAATAGGTAGAGACACGATTATTGTAAAATAGGCTCAGATATCTAATCAATAATATTTTTGCATTTTGTTAAGCATGTAAAAATTGCCAAGCATGTCAAGTTTAGGAACTTAAATTATAAAGATATTTAATGAAGTTTAAGAAACATTCTTGTAAGGTGGCAGGTGAAAGTACAGTAAACATTTAGAAGAACTGGTATGAGGTGTGCTTTGTTCTAATTGCTATGTTTTTACTATTGTTGTCAGGGCCACTTAATTTATGAATCAAACTGTCATTTAATATATATCATATAGAGAGTTCAGTGATGTTTTGTTTTCAAACAGCCACTGAGGACATAGCATCATAGATAAGGTATATGCTAAAGCTATACACCTTAATGCACATATATTACCTCACAGTTTGTTGTGAGTCAAGAATTTGAGAGTAGCTTCACTGAGTGATTCTGCCAGTTCAGATGTCAGCCTTTATGTGGAAGCTTGAGTGGGGCTGGGGGATTATTTTATGGTAGTTCATTTATGTATCTGGTTTGTAGGAGCCTATGTTAGTCAGCTTTCTGTCACCGATTACCCAAGATGCTAAACTTCTGAAGAGGAAAGCTTTGTTTTGTCGCATGGTCTCAGAGTTTGCCTCCATGATTGATGAGCCCTGTTACTTTGGGCCTGTGATAGTGCATCTTGGCAGGAGTCTGTGGTAGAGCAGAACCACTCATCGTTTGGCACTCGGATGCAAGAGGAGACAATCATAGTCTTTCAAGGCATGGCCTCAAGACCTGAAAATCTCTTCCTGGGCACTGCCTCTTAAAGTTTCACCACCTCCCAGCAGCCCCAGGCTAAGTACCAAACTATTAACACATGAACCTTCTGAGGTCATTCCAGATGCTAACTGTAGCAGTACATTGCTATGATAGTGATATAAATATAGCTTATTTGAAGATAACTCATTCCATTATTTAGGAAATAATGTATAACAGAAATATTATTCATTTTTAATTTGTTGTAACCCCTCCTCACAATTTTCTTATTTAATGCCTTGTTCTATTCTTAATATCTGAAAATATTTTTCCTTTTAAAACAAAATACTCATCTTAATATTGAATATTTTTAGTGACATATTTTTTCTCATAGTGATAACAAAAATATTACAGCACTGGAAATGCCAATCACATTACTGCATTTAGAGTCTGACTTTTCAACTGGTTTATTAACAAAATTAACTAAGATGCTTTTCTTTTCACATAGCAACAAAACTAGTGTGTAACAAGATGGTATGCCAGACTCTATCATGATTCACTATCTATCTATCTATCTATCTATCTATCTATCTATCTATCTATCTATCTATCTATCTATTTTTGGCCACTGGGGGGCTCCATAGTTAAAAAAATTCATGAAAAAAAGCTTAATGTAGCACTTTGCACTTTTTACTAGAATAGAAAGATATAATGTAGTCTACATTTTGACTAAAATTGGTAGTGAGTTGAATCACTGAATCAATGGATTATAAATGAAAATTAATGCAACCTACAGATCATGTATGTTTTACAAGTGCTTGGTTTTTTTTTTATTGGAATGCAAATTAGGCATATTACCCAATTAAGTCATTTTTTTTGTCTGATGCCAAAATATAGAACTGATCTTTTAAAACTTCTTAGTAGAGAAAGAAGTTAACAGGTGAAATTGAAATTGTTATTTCTCATGTCTCATATTTATGTATCCTGTACAATTTTTAAGAGTAACTACCTTTTCAATGAGGTGATTCTTTTCACCTAGTTTAATGAGCTCTAACAATCTCAGTGGTTTAATAATAAAAAGTAGGGAACATTTTAAAATTAACTAAAGCCAAGATTAAGATGTTGCATTTGCCAATGCTTAACTTGTACTTGTAGTCAGACCTTTTCTGACCTGCAAGCCAGCAAGTTCCCAAATCATCGCACAGACTTCTTATTAATTATCAAAGCATGCTGATAACTTCTAGCTAGCTCTTATAACTTAAATTAACCTGTTTTTATTCATTTAGTTTCTACCTTGTGGCCTTATTGACTCATCTCCCTGCACAGTGCTCATACTGCTCACTCTGTGTCTCATGATATCTCTACCTTCTTCCCAGCATTTTCTGTCCTGAAAATCCTGCCTAGCTATTATTGGCCATTGATCTTTCTATTAAACTAATCACAGTGCCATATCTGTACACAATTTATTCAAATAACCTGCAACATGCACTCTTAGCTACTGTGGAAACTGAGAAAAGTAGGAGAATCCTAAATTCAAAGCCAGGTATAAAAGTAGCATCTACTGATTTTTATTGTGTGAAAATACTTAAAATGTGAGCTGATGAGATGGTTCAGCAGGTAAAGATGTTTGCTGCCAAGCTTAAGGACCTGGGTACTATCCATAGTACTGAACCAAAGGAGACAGACTCTGGCCGAGTTGTCCTCACCTGCACACACGCGCCATCCTTCTCCCCACAAACAAATACATGAAAAAATTTAAAATACATTAGTGGTACAATTTCTTTGGTCTATATATATATATATAGTTCCTGCTGTTTTGATCTGAAAACTAGTGTTCAGAACATTTCCTTTATTCAAGTAGAATAGGAACTGATAAAGATGAAGAATTAGAAGCCCAAACGTGGTAGAGCCTAAAAGTAGCATATCTTTATCATATAGAAAAATTCTATATGGAAACTATATCCTGTTCCTAGAGTACTTTTACTTCCTTGATCTTTGCCACTTGTAAGAAGTGTTTTGATTTTGTTATAATTGTGAAGTGTTTACTTTTTAAATGTTTGTTGAACTGAGCTCTGAAAGCCTGAAATTTCCAAAGCATCTAAGCATCCCCCCTCAGATTTAGGTTTCTTTCTACTGAACTTGCAGAGGCCAGGGTGCAAGTTTTGGGGGATTCAGCTGAAGGTCCCCAGTTCTTGAGTAGCTTTGTCCTTTAGCACTTCCTATTCACAGATGGAAACCGAAGTGCAAATTAATTGTTAATGAGGAGGAAGCAGACACCTGTATGCTTTATCATTTAAAAACGACACTGGAGATGTGAATATGAATATATAAATGCTTGCTTTTTAAAAAAGAGTTAATAGCAAAGCAGTGTTATAAAGTCAGAAGTGAACCCCACAATGAATCACTGCAGCTGGCAGTCACTTCTTAGTGCCGAGTGTTTACCTGCCGGGAAGTGTTGTGGAATGAGTGATTGTTTTTTTTTAAAAGCCACTGTTAAATAAGTTGGACAGCCTCAGAGCCATTTTCTACCTTTCATTTATAATACTCATTAATACACCAGGCAATAATCTGTGTCATTGGGACATGGGATATTTAGTTATCTTCATTGTAGAATTTTAACTGAAAGGAAATACTCCCTGTGGAAAAAAATCTCTCAGGAGGGCAATTATAACGCACGTTAATCCTACCAAGATCCTAACCTCATGATCTTCAGTTCTGGGGTGCATTCTATACCTTGAAAGTTAAACTAAAAATACTTGAAGACAAATTTTAAGAGACAATGAAATGAGAATGTGAACCAGTGTCTGTAAGGTACAAATTAGAAATTAAATCCTTTATCAAATGTAAATGACAAATCCTTTGCTGTCTTATAATTAGTTTCTTGTCCTTTGGGGACATTAATAAATAGTAGTTAAAAAATACAAAAACCACTTATGCACATAGAAAAGCCTGTGTGGTCTTTCGGGTCTTGGCTCCAAGATGACCAAAAAAAGACGAAACAACGGGCGCGCCAAAAAGGGCCGCGGCCACCTGCAGCCCATTCGCTGCACGAACTGTGCCCGGTGCGTGCCCAAGGACAAGGCCATTAAGAAGTTCGTCATTCGGAACATAGTGGAGGCCGCTGCTGTCAGGGACATATCCGAAGCGAGTGTCTTCGAGGCTTATGTGCTTCCCAAGCTCTATGTCAAGCTGCATTACTGTGTGAGCTGTGCCAGTCACAGCAAAGTAGTCAGGAATCGATCTCGTGAAGCCCGGAAGGACCGGACACCCCCACCACGGTTTAGACCCACTGGTGCTGCACCACGACCTCCACCAAAGCCCATGTAAAGAGATGGCTTCGTGAAGACAAACACCTTGGAAAAATAACATTACTTTATGTAAAAAAAGAAAAAAAAAAAAAAAGAAAAGCCTGTGTGAATAATGTACCCATTTAATTTGTACTCCAGAGAGGTTTTCCTCTTATTTGTAAACTGAAAAGTTTATATCAACTGGTAGCTCTGTGTTCTTAATATGTAAAAGGAGGAGGGAGGTTTATATCATTACTATAATAATTTTTACATTACCTTATATGTATCAATTTATGTATTTATACCATGTGCATACCTGGTTCCTGCAGAGATCAGAAGAGGAAGTAAGATCCCTGAAGCTAGAGTTCTGGATAGTGAGCCACCATGTGAGCCACCAGGTGGCTCACCTGGGTCATCTTAAAGAACAAGTACTCTTTAACTGCTGAGCTGTTTTCTAGCCTTCTGTGTAATACTCTTTGGTAGAGTTCATTGTCCATAATGTACCTTGATTTCCAAAGGGCAGTTTAATAAAAATAGTTAATAGTACTATTTGAATCTCTTGTGTTAATCCTGTTTTAGTTTGTCACAACAATGAACGTGAGCCTATGATGACTGAATTATATTAATACGAAGTCTTATATATGAAAAGTTCTATTCTGTCAAGACTGGCATATGGTCAATTTCCAGTTCCTTCAACAATTTGACTAATACTGATAGTAATTGTGATATAGAGTGTAAGTAACTCGGATCTTCCTTTGAAATTTTTCTGTACTCTGAGTAGATAGGGAGTCCTTAGGCATTATTGCTAGTAGGTATAATTGGTTAAAGGTATCAAGGCTTCTAGTTCTTTTGATTTTTGAAAATTGTGTAATTTTGAAATCTTTGGATCACAGAGTTGAGGCCTCAGGTCCCTGTGTGAGTTCTCATGTAATAATAGCTTATTATATTTCTGCTTACACATCTCCACTGATAGAGAAATATCCAAGGTGAACTCACTTTACCTTTTGGACAGGCTTGATAGTTCTTAAGTCCTAATACTGAGTACCCCAAACTGCCTGCTACAGACATGTGCTAATTAAGTTTAGTCTTAAGGTCTGAAATCACTGTACAAAATTATGTATGATGCCATTCTCTCAGACTCCAAAGAGATACATATACAACACATTTCCTTCAAACCTCTGAACCCAGGTGCTTCCCATTATTTACCAGTGATCTGATCAGGAGGAGTTCTTCCTCATCTGACATCTCCAGCACTGGGTATAGTGAGCTTTTGTTTCTTCTTGCTGGACAGTGTATCTTTGCTAAATCCAGCTCATTTGGAAGTACAAAGCTGATTCTTGTTATTTGACATGTACCTTCTGTTATGGTAGGCCAACCCATCCTCTTCTTTTGGATGCTTATTCATCCCACTTGGCACTACTAAGCTTAGATTGTATGTGTTACTTTTCAGTGTTACAGAGATAAAATATCAATGTTTACTTATAAATCAGTAGATTTGTTTATATTCTGCCTACACCACAGTTGAAGATTTCTAATTCAGATGAAATGTCTGTTAGTCTACTTTGAATTTTCATTCTGGAACTTCAACAGAGAAACCTAGAGTTTTCCTGTTAACAGCATTTATCATCTTCACTGCTGGCGTATCATGTACCATGCTCAGTTTTGTAAAATTAACACACATAACAAAGAACTTAATAATTGTAATTGAGTGGTTGCTTTGGATGGATGGAGGGTAATGGGAGTGGAGTATGAGATAAAGAGAACTTAGTTCATTAAAATACTTATTTTTTTAGCAATAGTATCAAATTGTGTTGCAGATTTAACTCTCAACAAGTAGACTTGAATTTTGACCTTGTTGAAGTTTGTTTTGTAGTGTACTTAGAAGATTCTCAAGTTGTAATACCTTTGATACTGACTAGATTCATTAAAATATATGAACCAGACATGAAAATTAGGATTCAATATGTTACTCTTCACTCCAGTTTGGTTATTGCTATATGTCACAAATTGTGGCAGTTTCAGAATACTAGAAAAGTATTGTTGATGTAGCCAAGCTGAGAAATGTATCCTGGGCCTGAATTTACATTTATTGGTACTCCCTTTTTTTGTATTCCTCTTACTGTCAATCTAAGAAAGGAATACTTTTGTCATTTTTTAGATAACAGGGAGTGATGTCTTTGGATTCTGTGTCACCCTAGAGTTTAGTGGCTTGAAGTTCGGGGATTTTAGTTATGTGTGAACCCTCATAGACCATACCACAAATATTATATTCAATATATATGAAAGGGGCTTGAGTCATGTAAGATAATACAAGGATTTAATGAACAAAGTACTAATATACATTAGTGATTTATTACAACAACCAGCTCTTTGTTCGCCACACACACACACACACACACACACACACACACACACACACACTAACTCAAGCACTGTAATTGCCTTCTTAAATTCAATAAAGTAAATCTCTGTCTTAAAAAAAGTAAAAAGAGGAGTTTGGAGAAATGGCTCAGAGGTTAAGAGCACTGGCTGCTCTTCCAGAAGTGCTGAGTTCAATTCCCAGTAGCCACATGGTGGCTCACAATCATCTATAATGAGATCTGGTGTCCTCTTCTGGTGTGTAGGCATACATGCCAGCAGAACATTATATTCATAATAAATAAATTAATCTTTAAAAAAGGAAAAAGAGCACTGTATATATAGTTCAGTGGTATAGAGTTTGCCTAGTTCACACGGGTCCTAAGTTCAGACTCAAATGTCATCATATTAAGTCAGAAAGAGATAAAAGCTTTTCAGAATAGTTTTTAATAATTGGGCTAGTCTTTGACAGCTTCACACACATATAATGCATTCTGGTAGCATTCCACCTGTACCCTTTCTTGTCTCCTTACTTCTTCTGCCAACCCCCATGGCTACTTAGCTCTTTCCTATATTCATGACTTTTTGTTTTGTTTTGTGACCTATTTAGTTTAACCAGGGCCATATTCACAGTAGTTTTGTTTTGATTTTATTTTACTTTAATCCTTCAAAAATTGGTTGTTTTTCAAGAGGTGTGTGTGGAAGCAAAATATTGTATTCTCAACTACTGCTTCTTCTTCTCCTTCTCCTTTTCTCCTTTTCCTTCCTCCTCTTCCTCTTCTTCCCCCTCCTTCAAAAACTGATCCAGCCATCACTTCGACTGGAGAATATACTGTGTGGCATTCTCCAATTAAGTACATCACCTACATAGCAAATTCCAAGTTATTGGAAATAATCCTGAGAACTCAAATGAACACTTGCCCATTTTTCATTGTATCTGTTAAAACCTGAGATTTTTTTCTTATAGGCAACATAAATTGAAGAACTTGCTGTATCATGGGTAGAGATTTAAAACCTAAACATCTTGATTTACTGAGTATCATGGTCTGCCAAAATTTTTTGAATAAAATTGTTGAAATTGGGATTTAAATAGAATAAATAAATCAAAACCCTTGTTTCTTTTCAGAAGTTATATAGGTAGTACAGTACTTTGGTGTTCCTTTTTCTGATTTTGTGTTCCTATAATCATACAACAGAACATGCCTGTTACTTGTTAGCTGACTCAGGGTTCAGGTTTTATACCTGTTCCCCACCCAGCTGCAGCGTTCAGGATGATAGAATAAACTGGATGTGTAAGCCTGGGTGATATTACCACCCTAGGATCTTGGATAGAATTAGATCCACCCCACTCAATATACATGAACTCTTTTCCCCAAAAGAGATGCACTGTCAGGGTATATGAAGTATTTTCTCAAGAAATACATTTTTTTAAACTAAAAAATGGAGGAATGTATGCTAGGCAGGAAATACACAAAGTCTGCTAATTTTGATTTGGGAAAGGTGTGATTGATAGTTTGAATGAGAACGTCCCCCATAGGCTCCTATGTTTGAATGCTTAAGCCCCAGTTAGTGGAACTCTCTGGAAAGATTAGGTGTGGCTTTCTAGGAGGAGGTATTTCATCGGAAGTGGGGTGAGCTTCAAGGTTTCAAAAGACCAAGCCAGGCCCAGTGTTTCTCTTTCTCTCTGCGTGCAGCCTATGTGTCAGTATGTAAAGCTCTCTGTTACTGCTTAGTGTCAGTCCTGTCTGATGATCTTGGACTAGCCCTCTAAAAAGTAAGAAAGCCCCCAGTGAGATGCTTTCTTTTTATAAGAGTAGTCTAGGTCTTGGTGTCAGAATAGAATGGTAACCAAGGACAGAAAGCCTGCATAGGAAATACACTTTTACAGATGACTAGTCTCCTATTGAGAAAAGACGACTGTAGTGAATTTCCCTTTTAACTAAGGTGTGATAATGCCTGATGTTATAAGGTATAAGAAGCTAAAATTTCAAAATACTTGTTAGTAATATTGAGAGTTATTAACCACTGTCTCTAGGGTTGCTTGAGCACAAGACTTTCACTATATTTTAGCCCTTGTAACTGATGGTCCCTGGGGTTTTATAACACCGAATTCTTTGCCTCACTAGATTAGATTTAGGGACAAGGGGTAAACTTATAGAAATATTTGGAGAATATTTTCTTTGTTTTTTTGAATATTTTCTTTGTTAATTTAAGATAACTTAATTTGAATTAAATGATTTATGTTAGTTTCAGTATTGATTGTCATAGGCGCAGTGGTATCTAATACAGAGGGTGGCTTCTTTTTCCTTGAGAATTAATAACTGGTAGAACATTTCCACCGTGCATAGATGGTTGTTGTAGAGGTTGGCTTAGTTTTAGTACAGGATATCATTTTAATTGGTATTCCTGAGTCTTTCTCCTGAGGCTGTACATTTAAGGGGAATTGCTGTTTATATGGCACTGGCTTGTCATTCTCTAGTTATTTTATACTGTTAGAATGCAGTAGTTGATGTTCACTTGTTTAGCAAATTTTGTTTTTATAGTAGTCTTAGATTATCCAGCTATATGGAACAGGAAGCAGTTTCTCATACTCCCTCTGTCTAAATATCAATAGCTCAACTTTTACTTCAAGATATTTATAAGCATATTATGAAAGAAAAAGATACTTTCTGTGACCAAAGGGAGAGTCTGTCTCTGTGTCTCTCTCTGTCTCTGTGTCTGTCTGTCTCTGTCTGTCCCTCCCTCCCTCCCCCCTCCCCCTCCCCCTCCCTCCCTCCCTCCCTCCCTCCCTCCCTCCCTCCCTCCCTCCCTCCCTCCCTCCCTCCCTCCCAACTAGTATCAACAAACACTCTCTGAACCCCATGAGTAGAAAGTTAGATTCTTCTTGCTTTCTGCTATGGCGGGTCATGGGGAGAATAGGATTTTAAATAGGGGGATAATGTTCTAAGTGATCTGATCTGTAGCCTCCTGCTGGTCTGTGGATGGCAAACTTTGCAATAAACTAATGAACAATAGTGTCTGAAAGTATAGTGTGATGTGACAGAGGTGTTGGATGTGTCAGGAGCCCTGAGTTATACCTGGGCTATACCTACCCTGTGTTGCTGGGTCATCAAAGGATAATCAAACCTAACAAGGGTTACTCTCTCGGGCATCCTTGATTCTGTGAATTCAGAGTATGACTGTTAGGGAACACCACTAAACCCTACAAGGGCAGCGATACACAGTAGGGAATATTGTGAGGAGTTGAGTATTGTTTCCATCGGGCCATAAAGCAGCCATGGCTCTTCTCCTGGACTGTACATGACTTCAGCTATGAAAATTACAGTTTATCTTCCTTTGAGTACCGAGGACAAGTTTCTTAGATTTTTCTGACTTGAAGTAACCAACTACTATGTGACATTATTTGTCTCAATAATAATGGCCTTGCGAATACATTGCTTCAGAAGGTAGCATCTTAAATTCACCATGGCTTGTTTTGGAGTAGACCCCTCTTGTGCTCATATCAGGAATACTACTGTAGTTAAACATAACAGGAATGAGCGTCTTTCTGCCAGATACAGCTAACAGGGACAACAATTCTTTATGTGTAGTAGAGGGGTTTTTGTTCTTTTGAAAATAAGTATATTCAACTTATTCTTTGATACAAACTATCTTCATCATATCCACTCTCAGTCCCCTTCTTCCTCTAGAATTCTCACCTCATATGTCCCCTTCCTGTTTTCATGTTATCTTCTTTTTAATAACCAGAGTCTAATTAGTATTATCTTTATATACATGGTATGGGACAATCCATTGGAGCATAAGCCTCTTATAAGCAGCCATACCTCTGGAAAAAAAAGTCTTTCTCCCCTAGCAGCCATAAGCTTCCCATACCTACTCTGCTAGGGGTGCAGCCATGTGGGTTTCTCCTCCATTTATGCTGGAATGTTGATATCTTGATCTTGTTCAGGTCTTACAAGGTAACGGCAGCAACTATGAGTTAGTTCCTGAGTGCCATAACCATGTCTTGTTTATAAGACAGAATTTCAAAATCTTCCCTCATTCCCCATTTCTTTCATTTATTTATCGATTCACCCGTACATTTATTTATTTCTTTTCTTTTTCTTTCTTTCTCTGAACCTTGTAGGGTGGTGAGTTGATAAAGATGTCTCATTTAGGGCCAAGATTTCACCAGTTACTTAGTCTTTGCATGTAGACCAGTTACAAGTTTCTACATTAACTGCTGACTACTAAAATTGTGGTTATCTGACCAAAGTTGAGAGAAGCACCAGTCTACGGATATAAACATAAACATTTAGGGAGCAATTTGGCAGTATGATTGTTTAGCAAGACATCAGTAGTAAATTTTCCTCTAGGACTTGTGATCTCTCCAGCATGAGCCTTTGTCCAG